AGTGCCCCCCCCCCCCACCCCCTTCTTTCTCTACTGCAGCGGTGGTGGGATGAATTTAAGATGACCCCCAAATAATCAGATTCTGTACATGGAAAATTATAACTGGTTGATATATTTTCCTTAGATAGAATCTGATTATTGGAGAACCATCCTAAATTCGGGGTTTATTCTTGGATTCAGATAAATATAGTATTTTTCTCAATTTAATTTTTCAATTTGGCAGCTGAACTGAAAAATCAGCTTTTCATGAGCCACACACCATGTTACAGCCTGGCCGTGATTTACTCCATATACATTTCATTCCAGGATTCAAAAATGCATTATGGAGGTGGGTAAATCTTAAGGTCACAATTTTATGGATGCACAGATACATGCATTTGTTTCACTTTAAAATAAGCACATCATGTGTCTGTAGATGTGCGGGGAGGCTACTCTGATGTGCTGTAATTGCAGAGCATTGGAGCAGACTTGATTTAATCGAGTCTGCTGGAATGTGCTTATTAATGCCCTCCAGCAGCCTCTGTGTCTCGTGTATCAGCATCCCTGCACTTCTGAATGGTGGCGGGGGCACTGTAATTAAAGCTTGTTCAGAGAGCTGTAGTTAAAGTGCCTCTGCTGCCATTTTGAAGTGTGGAGATGCTGATACACAAGACACTGCAGGTGTTTTAATTTGCCCAGAGAAAGTGTAAAAATGCCATTTTGCTTAATATCCAGAAAATGTATATTTTCAAAATGTCCATGTTGGTTTTTTTAGCTGTATTATTGAAATGGGTCTGGACAAAAAGCCCTCTCCTCCCAAGAAAGAAATGAAAGAAGACACTAAAGAAAGGCTTGAGCAATCAATGAAAGTCATAGAGCCCAATGAATCCAGCGAAAGCAGTATTGAACAGAAGGCAAACAAAGAATCAACACTGGTTATTTCATCTGCCCAAGAAAAGGAGTCTTCAGAGGATAAGATGGAAATTGAAGAGGAGGAAAGAAAAGAAGAAACAAGAAGGGGAATAAATGATGAGAATGACCAGGAAAACTCCAGCAATTATGGTACAGTACAGGGCTGGGTGTGGAGAGGTATAGGCACTATTCCTCTCACAGCCTTTGGCTTGCCGTTTGACCTCTAACAAATCACCTCACTCCATCTTTTTCTTTCCTTCAGGTTTCTGAGGCAAAGGCAGCCTCTAACTTTGTGTAAGTGCAGTGCTGAGCACAATGGGGCCATGATTTCTCTGTACTTTTGTACTATATGGTACAAATAGCAGAGTATTTAAAATCTATCATAGTCAAAATTAAAATCTTTGTCTATGGTGGTGCTTTGCAACCAATGTAGTTGCACTGACACAGCTCCCAATTGTGGATGCTATTTATACTGACTCTGTGTGAATTGCACCAGTAGAGCTTACAGGGGTGTGGGTGTGGGGGGGTGCCTGAGACAGAAAGATGGAGAAGTCAGGAAGCGGTTCAGGTGGTGACACCTGTTGTTAAGGTTGCCCAGCACTTTCTGTTTTATGATCCTGCTTTCATGATTCAAGAGAAGAGGTTTTTCTAGGTACCAGGAGGTAAATAGGATGCGAGTGGGGAAAATGGTGACAGGAACCAGGGAAGAGGCAAAAGAAAAGAGTTCGAAGGGATATATAGAAAGAAGCAGAGAGGAAGGATGGAATAAATCTGGGGCTTTGTGTGTAGACACAGAGGAAGGGGAAGAATAGGGCAGGAACCAAGGGAAAAGGTGGTTGGAGGAAGGAATACAGGGCAGGGATTGCATAGGAGTAGAGGGAGATGGGCAGGATGTGGAACAAGTGGATGCATAAGGGCCATGGCAGACATGACACTTTAATAGTAACCCTGCCACATGTTCTAAGCACTTGAAGAGAAACAAGTGATTAAGAACAGTCAGCATGGATTCACCAAGGGCATGTCATGCCTGACCAACTTGATTGCCTTCCTTGATGAGATGACTGGCTCTGTGGATATGGGGAGACAAGTGGATGTGGTGTAGCTTGATTTTTAGCAAGGCTTTTGATATGGTCTCCCACAATATTCTTGCAGCGAAGTTAAGGAAGTATAGGCAGGATGAATGGACTCTAGGCTGGATAGAAAACTGGCTGAAACATCAGTCTCAGAGGGTAGCAGTCAATAACTTGAGGTCTAGTTGGCAACTGGTATCAAGTGGAGAGCCCCAAGGGTCAGTCCTGGGGCCAGTTTTGTTCAGTATCTTCCTTGATGACCTAGAAGATAGCATAGAGTGCACCCTCAGTAAATTTGCAGATGACACCAAGATGTGGCGAGTAGTAGAGTAGGGGAGCTGCAGGGCAGGGCTAAGATTCAGAATGACCTAGAGAAATTAGAGGATTAAGCCAAAAGAAATCTCATGAGGTTCAACAAGGACAAGTGCAAAGTCCTGCACTTAGGATGCAACACGCACTGGTATAGGCGGGGGGCTGACTGGCTGAGCGGCAGCTCTGCAGAAAAGGACTCGGGGGTTACAGTGGACAATAAGTTGAATATGAACCAACAGTGTGCCCTTGTTGTCAAGAAGGCTAGCAGCATACTAGGCTGTGTTGGTGGGAGTGTTGCCAGCAGGACAAGGGAAGTGGTTATTCCCCTCTACTCAGCACTGGTGAGGCCACATCTGGAGTACTGGGTCCAGTTTTGCCCCCCACGCCCACCCTCCATTACAGAAAGGATGTTGACAAAATGGAAAGAGACCAGCAGAGGGCAACAAAAATGTTTAAGGGGGCTGGGGCATATGACTTATGACGAGAGGCTAAAGGAACTGGGCTTTTTTAGTCTAGAGAAGAGAAGACAGAGAGGGGATTTAATAGCAGCCCTCAACTACCTGAAGGAGTAGTTTGAAAGAGGATGGAGCTAGACTGTTCTCAGTGGTGGCAGATGACAGAACAAGGAGCAATGTTCTCAAGTTGCAGCAAGGCAAGTTTAGGCTAGATATTAGGAAGAATTTTCACACTCAGAGGATAGTAAAGCCCTGAAACAGGTTACCCTGAGAGGTTGTGTAACCTCCATCTTTGGAGGTTTTTAAGACCCGGCTAGACAAAGCCTTGGCTGGGATGATCTAGTTGGAGATGGCCCTGCTTTGAGCAGCTGCTTGGACTAGATGACCTCCTGAGGTCCCTTCCACCCCTAATTTTCTATGGTTCTATGTTAAGGGAATTAATGATGTATTGAAACAAGAAACCAACAACAAAAATGGCCCACAAAATAGGTAGAACATTTTGGTATCTGGTTTCCATCTTGCCTTAAATTTGAATCTGTGGCAGGGTAACTTAGGGTAGCACACGGGGCATGACAGGAGACACAATAGTTGGGATTAGAGGTCAGATGCCATCATGTCATTATTTGAATGCTAGGGACCTAAGTTGGTGAGGTGGGAGGCCATCAGCCTGGGTGGGATAGACAGGAGCATTGTGTAGTATATATTGGATCTGCGGTGATGTTATAGCTATGTTGGTCCAGGGATTAAGTAAGAGGTAAGGATATCTTAAGATGATATCTTTTACTGGAGCAACTGCATAGTTGGGTAGAGGCAGCAAGCTTTTGAATGCAAGATAATCTTCTTTAAGTCTGAGCTGGCATTTACTCCTCATACCTTAAAAAGAATGTCTTGCATTCAAAAGCATGTCTAATTCTATCTCAGCCATGCAGTTGTTTCAGTAAAAGATATTACCCTAAGAATCTCTTGACTCTTGCATATTAGATTTGGATTAATTATTTTTGTCAAAACCTTTTTTGGCAAATAAATAAATATAAAAATCCTGATTGGGTGACAGCAAAAGGTTTTGCAAACACACATCAATTTCATGTTGGAAAACAAAAAATAGAAAAATAATCCCTCTATATTCAAAGTGTTCATTTCTGCTGTTTCATAACTGAAATATTTCAAGTTTTCCATTTGGGATAACTTTTTATTTCAAAACTGAATTTATTTATAAAAATTTTGAGAATGTTTAAGTGATTGAAAATCCAAATAAAAAACAAACAAATTTCAACCAAAGTCGAAACAAATTGAAACAAACTTTTACATTACTTGAATATTTCCGGAAAGTTTTCCTGGCATTTCAGAATGTCCAACAAACCTAAAGATCTGTTTACCCTGCCTCCCCCAAGATGTAATGGTCAAGTAGCCTTTTTACTTAACAAATTTGACTAGGCACTTCTTTGCATATCTAAGCAACTAAATACTTTTATAGGTAAAGCTGTAGGTGTCTCTGGTTGGGTACTCATGATTAGCAGGTATATCAGACCTTACTTCCTCTATCCCTTAGTTCTCTAGCTGTAAAAGGAATAATAATGCATGGAGGAGTTATGAAGATAAATCCATTAACATTTATGAAGTACATCATATATTATAGTGAGAACACTACATGAGCAGTAAGCAAGGCTTAGGACCACACTTTAACTGGGTAGGAAGCATAGGTGGAAGGAAAAAATTATTTGGGGGTAGGGGGGGTGGCTGAGCATGCATACGCATGTGTACCCCCCCAGCAGGTAAGTCTCTGGGGAAAGGATGAGAGGAGTGGAAAGGGCCATGAGGGGGGGTGCAGATTGAGACCCTAGCAGTGAGAGAGGAAGTGGGGCACAGGCAGGAGCAAGGGCTGGGGTGACTGGAGCCCTGGGCAGGCTGGGCGGTGGGACAATTGGAGCCTGGGCAGCTCATTCAGGGATGCGGGGAGGCTCCTGCCTTTGCACACACCTGGGAGAGGCCTGGGGGTCTTATGCCTCCCGAATCTGTGTGGGACAGAGGCAGCTGCGGCTGCTCACTTTGCTTTGCTCCCTGCAGCAGCTGCCCCGAGATCCATGCGAGGCCATGTGCGTCCCACTTTTGGGCAGGCAGGGGGCATGGCACAGCCAATGGCAGCAGGCACGTGGCGTCATGTGAATCTCAGGGCAGCACAGCCGCAGGGAGCAAAGCTCAGCGCACAGCAGCCACTGCCTCCGTCCCATGCACAGATCTGGGGGCATATGACCCCCAGGCCTCCCCTGGGGTGTGCGCAGCAGTGGGAACCCCACGCCCCTGGACAAGCTGCCTGGGCTCCAATTGTCCCACCACCCGGCCCAGCCAGGGTCCCACTCACCCCCATCCCTTGCTCCTGCCTGTGCCCCACTCTCTCCCTTACTGAGGGGGCCGCGATCTGCCCCCCCTCCCAACCAGCCCCTTCCCCTTCACCGAATAGACTGATACTTGCCTGCCATGCTGGGCAACCTGTGAGCCACACACCAAGCTGAGATCCAGACTGCGTTTGTACCCCTCCCCACTCCTGCTGCAGCCACCTGGAGCTTGTTGCCTTGCAGCCCTACCCACTGCCCTGCATTTGCAGGGGCTTAGCCCTGTAGCCCCAGTCTTCTGCTGCCTATGGTAGAAGGAAAAAATAAAACCAAATACACCGAATGAGGCGTTAAGTGAATTCAGGCATTCAGTGAATGAGTTAGGGGACGTGTTTAAAAAATGATCATAGAATCATAGAGAAGTAGGGCTGAAAGGGACCTCTAGAGGTCATTTTTAAATGCAGTGTAATTGGTAGTGAGGAGGAAATGAGTATGAAAGAAAGACATTATAGGCTTGAATCCACAAAGTATATTATTTATTTTACTTGTCTTTATTTATGTTTAGCATTTTTCAAGGTCATTCTTGGTCTGTTAAAATATCTCCTTTCTAAAATTTTCTAAAGTTAAATACAGAAAATTAAGTCTTAAGTATAATATATCCTCATCAGTTATTCTTGCTTGTGGAAGAACATTAAAAGTTACCTGAATAGAGTCAGATAAACCTGTCTACCTCATGGTCAGTGTCCTTCCATGTATTCTTCCTGTATTGTGTAACCTAAGACAAATGTCTACTCTATCTACTTGTTTGTCATATGCCATCTATCCATTTATGAAGAAATAGTTAACATCTCCTGTTTTGTTCATTCACTTTTAATTTAATAAAGTCTTCATTTTCATAACAGACCACGTTCTTTCTTCATAAATATTTTTTTTCTCCCTGCTTTCTATTCCTATTTTCCCTTTTCTGATTTTTCTGCTCTATTGCGTAGCTTTTTCATTACTCATCATGTATGCAGTTTTGTGATTAATAAAGCTTTCTCCCCTCTGGGAGGTGGACACCTCTCTGACAATTACCTGAGAAGGCCTTGCTGCCACACATGCTGTTGGAATCTCAATTGATTTGAATATAGAAAAGAAGTCTGCTTATTTCCTTAATTCTCATTGTATGGATAATTGTTTGTTTGCCTAATTGGTTCTGCATCAGATACTCTTCACTTCTCTCTTTGGCAGTTTGTCACTTTAACATTTTAAAAACATTGGTGGAAAGAAACAGAGGTGAACAATTAAATTTGAAAGGTGAGAAATTATGGCCCAGAGGGACATCTGGAGTGTGTCGTCTGTGACAGTTCTCTTTCATGATATGGTTTTGTTGCTTCTCTGGTGGATGTGCAGCAAATTAGTAGCTGGAATGTAAAGACTGTATTATAGAAGGGTTCTGGGTATACTCTGGTTTTCAGGAAAAAAGGTAGCCCATTTCTGGGTGGAGTGGAAAGTATTCTGTAATGCACACATAAATTTCAATTCTGAACTACATATATGTACAAAACCCTGCTATCAAATCTTACTAATCACCCTTAACTTTTAGTTTCCCAGTAAAAGATGAAATCTGGGATATCTGGTTTGCACTGAAATCTAAACGGGATTTTTTCCATAAGCTTCAGTTCTGCTAGGATTTCACCTTGGAACTAAATTAACATACTTGAAGGAACTGTATGGTAATCAGAGCATTCCTCTGCAGTGCCTTTTAGCTGGATTTAATTAATTAATTATTTTTGTAAGGCACATCTTTGCTAATTAGGCATATCAATCCACATTTATCTTACTTTCCACATACAACATTTTATCTTTCTGCTGCTTGATCCACTGCTTAGATTTATTTTCCTTGCAATAAGACTCTTATATTGGGAGTCGTTTCCTTTGATATGCTGTTCTTATGTTCTGTCTTTGTCTTTCTCCAATATACAGCTTTGTTGATTTTATTCTTTACATATTGGACTCATTTTGGATCAGTTAGTAGCTTTATACAGTTTCTTTGCACACGTGTGTGTTTGTTTGTGTGAAATTATCCATAATGTATTGTGGAGGTATAATTTCTCTCACACACACACACACACACACACACACACAC